CATACCACAACAGGTCTCTCTGCTTCTGTTCCTGTCCCAGCCCTTTCAACACACAAAATAATCTCATTAACCCATTTGTGCCTGAGGTTGCAATTTTTTGAATTTTTGCAATGAGACCTTGGTGATGACCTTGAGCAGTAGGATATAAAAAACTCCTACATGCCTAGCGTTCCAATAATGGAACGCTAGGCATAAATGGATAAAATCAAACCCTTTTTTAGGCTGGACAAGATGGCTCACGCCTGTAATCCCAGCACTTTGGGAGGCTGAGGCGGGCAGATCACAAGGTCAGGAGATCAAGACTATCCTGGCTAACACCGTGAAACCTTGTCTCTACTAAAAAATACAAAAAATTAGCCGGGCGCGGTGGCGGGCGCCTGTAGTCCCAGCTACTCAGGAGGCTGAGGCAGGAGAATGGTGTAAACCTGGGAGGCAGAACTTGCAGTGAGCCAAGATCACGCCACTGCACTCCAGCCTGGGCGACAGAGCGAGACCCTGTCACAAAACAAAACAAAAAACCCTTTTTTAAAAAAACCCATGTTGTTGCTATGGCAGTGAGAATAAACTCTCCTACCCTGGCCTGCAAAGCCCCGCCTTCCTCAAGCAACACATCAGCACCCTGGCCTTCTTCCCTGTGACCACTTCAAGCTCTCCACAATCACAGGGCCTTTGCACGTGCTCCAGGCTCTGCCTAGAAAGCTCTCATCTCCCTCCTTTTCCTGCTTCCCATCATTCAGGTCTCAGCTCAGAGAAATCCTCCTTGACTGCTCTAGCTCAAGTAGTCTTTTTTTTTCCCCTGAGACAATCTCGCTCTGTCACTCAGGCTGGATTGCAGTGGTGTAATCAGAGCTCACTGCAGCCTCAACCTCCTGGCTAATTAAAATTTTGTGTGTGTGTGTGTGTGGAGACAGAGGTAGGGGTCTTCCTATGTTGCCCAGGCTGGTCTTGAACTCTTGGGCTCAAGCGATCCTCCCGCCTTGGCCTCCCAAAGTGCTACATTACAGGCTTGAGCCACTGTGCCCAGACCTCAAGTAGACTTATGCCCAGTACTTTTTATTTTATGTACTATCTTCAGAGCTGTCAGCCTCTGACATCCTTATGATTTTGCTTTCTGTTTGTTGCCTGTCTTCCCCACTAAAATAAAAGTTCTGCAAGGGAAGACTCTTCTTTGTTTCTCCAGCATCCCCAGGGCCCAGACCAGGTCTCATACATAATTGTTACGTGGTAATTATAATCATTGTTACAACTACTGTGCATTGAGTGCTCAGTATGTACCGGAAATGGTTCTGTATTAACTTCACAACCCTCTGTGCCAGGTACTATTGTCTCATTTTACAGATGGGACATGTACTCTACTCATGGTCACAGGGGCACAGTGGCAACACCCACATTTCAAACCCTGTCTGTCCACTGCAGGTTACCTGCTCCCACTCCACCTCTCACAGGTCTCGGGCTGGTCCCCTGGGGAGTGGTAGCTGCCCACTCCCTCCTCGAGGGTTTGGATATGCGGCCCCTCAGCCTTCCCCTGCCTTAGCCCTGGGTCCCTCTCCACCCACCACCCCAGGGGGCTGGCTCTGCAGAGGGGAGGGGCAGCACAGGCAGGAGCTGGAGGCCAGGGCCAAGTCACTTTCCCCACTGGCTGTGTGACCTTCAGTGAGTCTCTTCACCAGTTCTACCCTCTGCTTAGACGGGAGAGAAAGAATTGGGCCCTGTTTGCCTCACAGGTTGTGCTGAGGATTCGATGAAGTAGAGAATGGGGAAGGGCTTGGGACAGGGGAAGGGTGCGAAGGGTCACCTGTTTTCTCTGGAGGCTTTGACCACCCAGGGGCTTGGCCCAGCGGGTCCACTGCATTGCTCTGGAGCCCAGTCTAGGGGCTTCCAGGAGAGCCCGGCAGTGGCACAGGAAGGCTGGGCTTGGGGTAACCTCAGCTATGGTGTCCCAGACCCTCGTGCTGGTGCCAGTTCCCAAGAGAGGCCCATCCTTGCCTCACATTTGAACCCCTTCACTTCAGTTTTCTGTTGCAGCTCTTTGTGTCTTTCGTGGCTCTTACCACAATTGCTCATCATTTTGGTTACTTATCGTGTCTTCCTCACTAGAGTGGAAATCCAAGAGGGCAGAAACTGACAATGTTGTCCTCCAGTGTATCCCCAGAAGCTCACTATCTGTTTGTTGAGTGAATCAGTAATCGCACCTGCAGAGATCTCCAGAACAGGGGCTCTCACTGTCTTAGAAGGCCTCTTTTACTGGGCAGACCATGGTTTAGGGAGTTTTTGACAATGTCTGGGACCTCTTGAGTTAGTTCCAACTCAGCTGCAGAAACACCTAGGTTATGTCCACAGTGTCCAAGGGCAAGGAAGGAAAGCAGCATTTGTTCTTTGTTTGGTGGTGGTGGTGGTCTGGTTTTTTTGTTTTGTTTTGTTTTGAGAGATAGAGTCTCTCTCTGTTGCTCAGGCTGGAGTGCAGTGGTACAATCAGGGCTCACCACAGCCTCCACCTCCCGGGATCAGGTGATCCTCCCACTTCAGCCTCCTAAGTAGCTGGGACTACAGGTACCCGTGACCCCATCCGGCTGATTTTTGTATTTTTTGTAGAGACAGGGTCCCACTATGTTGTACAGGCTGGTCTCCGACTGCTGGGTTCAAATAATCTGCCGCCTTGGTCTCCCAAAGTGCTGGGATTCCAGGCGTGAGCCACTGCGCCCAGCCAACCTTTGTTACTGAGTGTCCACTAAGTCTGAGGAATTTGCTCCTGCAGCTGCAAACGTGACTGAACTTCCTGTGAGCCCCAGCTTGTACCGAGTCCTTTACATGCATTATTTCATATAATTCTCATGCAAAGGCCTCAGGTAATTACACCCATTTTACAGATGGGAAAATTGAGGTTCATAAAGATTACATAACTTGCCAGGGAGAAGAAGGGCTGAGGTGCTGTCCAACATCCCAGCCCACCAGGCTGTTTCCACTCTCCACGCTTCCTCAAAGCAAGTATCTGCCCAAGGGGAGGGTCGCCTGGGTTCTCAGAGCAACCTCTACATTGAAAAGAATGAATCAATAGCATAAAAAAACCCCTCAAAACAAAAAAAACCTAATATAACAGGACCTTTTCCTCCTAGGCCTAAAATTATATTAACTGAACCAAATTTTAAAATAACCAAAAAAAGGAAAAAGTAAAAATTATTCATAATCCCACCTTCCTGAGATAATCACTGTTGGAATGTTTCTTTTTTCTTTTGTGTTAGATACATATATTTTACTAACTTAAAATCACATTGTTCACTAATACCCTGTTTTGTAATAATTACTAACATTTACTGCAACTTTGTGCCAGATACTTTTCTGTAAACATTTTATTGTGAACATTTTCCCACATCACTAAATATTCTTTGAAAACATCACTTATGTATATATTTATTTATTATTCAGAGATGGGGTCTTACTGTGTCACCCAGACAGGACTGCAGCAACATGATCATAGCTCACTGAAGCCTGGAACTCCTAGGGTCAAGTGATCCTCCCATATCTGCCTCCCAAGTAGCTGGGACTACCAGGGTGCCACACGTCTAGCTAATTTTTTTTTTTTTTTTTTTTTTTGTAGAGATGGAGTTTCACCATGTTACCTAGGCTGGTCCCAGAAAACACCATTTTTTTTTGAGTGGGAATCTCACTCTTGTCGCCCAGGGTGGAGTGCAATGGCTCGATCTTGGCTCGCTGCAACCTCCGCTTCCTGGGTTCAAGCGATTCTCCTACCTCAGCCTCCTGAGCAGCTGGGATTACAGGTGCCAGCCACCATACCCAACTATTTTTTGTATTTTTAGTAGAGACGGGGTTTCTCCATGTTGGTCAGGATGGTCTCGAACACCCGACCTCAAGTGATCCTCTCGCCTTGGCTTCCCAAAGTACTAGGATTACAGGCGTGAGCCACCATGCCCGGCCGAAAACACCATTTTTTAATGACTGCATACTACTCCATCCAGAAATATTCCATGATTTATTTAATCAATTTCCTTATCCTGGACATTTCCAGTATTACCCTTTCCTTGGAAAGTGCTATTATTTTTTTTTCTATTTATTATTTATTTGCTTATTTAGAAACGGTCTCTCTCTGTCGCCCAGGCTGGAGTGCACTGGCGCGTTCTCGACTCACTGCAGTTTCCACCTCCCATGCTCAGGCGATCCTCCCGCCTAAGCCACCTTAGTAGCTGGGACCACAGATGCGGTCACCACGCCCGGGTAATTAAAAAAAATTAAAATATAGGCCGGGCATAGTGGCTCACGCCTGTAATCCTAGCACTTTGGGAGGCAGAGGCGGGCGGATCACTTGAGGTCGGTGGTTCGAGACCATCCTGACCAACATGGAGAAACCCCGTCTCTACTAAAAATACAAAATTAGATGGGCATTGTGGCGCATGCCTGTAATCCTAGCTACTCAGGAGGCTGAGGTAGGAGAATCGCTTGAACCTGGGAAGCAGAGGTTGCGGTGAGCCGAGATCGCGCCATTGCACTGCAGCCTGGGCAACAAGACTGAAACTCCGTCGCAAAAAATAAAAAATAAAAATAAATGAAAACAAAAAATATTTTAAGAGATGGAGGTCTCCACAGGCTGGTCTCGAACTCCCGGGTTCACTCCCGGGCTCAAGCCATCCTCCCACCTCGTCCTCCAAAAGTGCTGGGATTACAGGAGGGAGCCACCACGCCCGCCGGCGCAATTGTTACCGATGCTGCATTGAGTGCGTGTTCCTTCACTCATCGAAATACATTTACATATATTTTTGTAAAAAACAAAAACGACCCCGCCTCGCAGAGTTAGGAGAAAAGCAGCCGGGAGCGGAGGGTGGGAGGGTGCGGCGGGCTGGGGCTCCGCAGCGTAGCTGGGTGCAGGTCCTGAA